AACACTATTCCATTAGTGCTGTCAGATTTCCCATAACTTAATGGAAAGTTTTATTTATCTTAGCCTAAGTAACACAAAAACCTTGCACGATGTTTTATTGTGGTTCTTATACCCCTAACAGGTCCTAAACAGTTGCAGGTCTAAAGAGTCTATGATGTTTTCACCAAGGGAATGTACTCACAGAAAAGTGTCTTTTCTCACCTTTCCAGTAAAATGAATAAGCAACACTTGATATCATGTATACTGCTCAGTGAAAAAAACCATAAAAAGCTAACACTTTTTACATAATCCACCAAATACTTGAACTAGGAAAACAATATACTCATCTGTAATTGCATGATTGTGAAATGTTTGTTAGCCTAGGGATGGAAGTGATTAAACTTATCAAGCACTTCTGATCTTCTCTCTTGAGCACCCATTAAATATAAACAAAAAGTAGTGATAGAAGACAAGGGATGCTATCCCTTAAAATATTAGATGAAACTTGATTGCAAATGAATTGTTCCTTCAACATTTGTTTGGAACACATTAAATAATATACAGTCCACTCTTGGTAATTCATACACTCAAGAAATCAAAACTTTCGATAATTCAAAATAAAAGCTCAGTCCGTAGAGAATCTCCCAATATTTCAAATTTTACCATGGTTTTTTGATACACTCGGTATTTCAAAGTCCAAATAAAAGGCAGGCCAATTTGGAACACGCAGTAATTCAAAGTTTCGTCAGCAAAACACTCAATGATTCAAAGTCACACAGTAATTCGAATATTTGTCAGAAAAACATTCTATAATTGAAAGTTAGGGCTCCCTTCACATTATAAATTATTTGTCATTTTATCATGGAATCTAAGCATAAATACAAACCGCTTTCAATTGCGGAAAAAAACAGTTATTGCAGTAGTCATGTAAGTTTTAGTAGAACTCTCTGTAAATAGAATGGATTAGGTATTTTTTCCCTGATAAATCAAACTCTTGATAATTCAAATTGATTTGCTTGGCCCACCAATTTCGAATGATCAAGATTCTACTGTTCTGTTATTTAGTTGCTAAGAAACAGATTTTGAAAACTTAATAGTTAACATATCTTGATTTTTGAATTCATTTGACGATTTAAAAAAGTGTTATGCAGTAAAACACAAATTTTCAAGCTACAAAATAATGCAAATAATTTTTTTAATTTCAATCAAATACAACCAGCTGTTCCCTTAGTCCTACCATAGACAAATCCTATACTCTAATAGGAGCAATGTTTGCTTGTATGTATGTATGTTTGCACAAAGATCTCGATAACGGCTTCTTCAAATGTTGTAAGTAGTTTATTTCTGGCCTAAAAACGAGTTTACTGCAGTTAGAACTGCCAACAAAAATCTAATAAATTATGTAGAAAAATGTAACTGAAAGTCACATTTTAGCGAATTTCCCATATAGGGAATAAGTTATTACCGTAGTACTCATGGTAAGACTTGGACGCGGGACCGATTTTTTTTACTACTTTTTACCAACATTACAATTTTTTGACCTTCACCAGGTGACCGCCCATGAGGAGTAGGTATATAATCTTTAATGTAAACATAGGTTGATTGCACATCATTTTAAAGGGTTAGTCAAGTGGAGTTCATTGCCGGAAACCGTGTCTTAAAAGGTTCATCAGTTACAAAATGGTGGCTGTCCAAAGTTCTTGTGGAAAATACCTGCACAGGCCTTAGTATTGGTAAATACTCATCGTCAACATTAGCTTGAGAGCTGAAATTGTATTTTAAGTCAACTAGCCCATAGACTAACATTATTCAATTTTCAAAACAAATTTTACCAGGTTTCAGCTTTCCCGGTTCAGCATGTAATCTATAAGGCCAAACTAGTTTATCCTAGGGCGATGAGAAAAAACTAGATCGTCCTAGTCGAAACTAGTTTGTCCTAAAATCGTGTTTGTCCGGTAATACATTTTCAGCTAAAACTGCTCATCATCATGATTCTACGCCCAGATGTTCTCTCAATTTACTGGAGACAGACTAAAACCACTTTCCAATTAAATGTATGGATTTAATAATCATCGATTGCATGTTGTTATCTGTTTGATGTTTATACTCTTCATTACATCACTCCCATATGGCCCATCAACCTAAAAAGCAATACACTTTTTATATACCCTTAAAACAGAAAGAGTTTCTCTGTAACATCCTTTTTTCGCCCAATATAATTACCAATTTTTTAAATTAAGGTGTCATTGCCACAGCTGCAACATAGAAAAACATAGAAACGGAAGGGACAGTTTTTGTTGAATGCTTTCCGTGTTATTAAATTGAAACCATTACACCATATATGACACAAAACGACACGACACTTTTAGAATTCTAGCGCAATAGCATACAACCGACATTTTCTTGTTTTCATTTTTATGTTATTTTGGTAGAGGTGGCATGGCTTCAATATGTTTTATGCAGGAATGGAAAAGGAAAGGACCACGGACAGAAATTTTTTCTTGGGTACTTCTGTGACTGCTCGATAATCCACGAGTCTAACAGGTGATTGGCTGTTATCTTCAACAGATACTTCCTGTTAATGCCTGGTTTTCGTCAGTGCTCGGCTGTTTCCGTTAGCTTACTTTTAAGTTCTAACGTCAAACACAGTGAACATTGTCTCATGCCACTTAACCTATATTCTCATAAAGGAACACATACAACATAAATCTTATACCTATTAAATGCAAAGCCGACACTGGCTGACTAAATGACTCACTCACTCATTCCAACTACTAATCACTAATTCTCCTACTTCCCATTTCCCTAGGAGGCTAAAATTTGGTACACTGATTCTTTTGGCATTAAATGGGAAAACTGAGTAGTTTTTATTCAAATCTTTTTATATTTAGAATCTCTCGGGAACAGAACCTGTACCTCTTAATCTCTGCTCTTTGAACTGTCAAATTGAAGTATTTACAGCTGACTTCAAAATTGATACATTTAACTATTTACATTCTTTCAAAATGTAAACATTGATACTTTGGAAGCCCATGAGGCGTATACCAAGGGAAAAATGAGAATAAAATTATTTATATTGTATTGTCATCCATTTGTGGGTTATGTTTCAAGTTTCAAGTCTCTAGCTCATCGGGAAGTTGGTTTAATATAGATTGCAAAATTTGTACCGGACAAGAAAGCAAGCTAATAAGAATGTTTTAAACCTAACTTATTGAGTTTGTTTTACCCCAAAGAAATTTCTGGGAAACGGATTAGAGTGTTAATAATTTTAGTGCATTACTGATCAAGTCAATGACTTGGATGGAGAAGCAAATGATTAGAGATATTAGAGATATGAATGATGTCAATAAAGTAATTACTTTTTGACCAATTGAGCAGATTTTTTCATGATTAGAGCCAATATAACCACAGGCTGAAAGGACATAGTCATCTTTTATTTTATATTTTGATACAATCAATAGTTTTATTAACACTTATGAAGTCAAACGGGGCAAAACCTGCGGGTAACAGCTAGGGATGTTATAACTTAGGTAGGTGTATGTACTATGATTGGCTTAATGTTTCACGAAGCAATAGTATTAGCAGTTCAGGGTTATCCATAACACAAGAAAACTGAAGTGCTGGGAGGAAATTGCCTCCTAACCCCAAAAAAAGCACATAATATGCAAGTGTTTGTAAATGCAACCCAAATTAAAAGTACTGTGAGGCACTTAATTACATCAATATTTTCTCTCATTTGGTAACAATAACAATCCAATTAAGATTTTTAATCCAATATTTCTCTAACAGTTTTCCTTCCATTATGCGTGTTGCCATATCATCTACAATATACAAAAAGCCTTTATGAATAAAATACCCCTGCCACAGCAAACCTGCAAACTAAGCGAATTTCCATTTGCTTTGCCTGAATTGATATAGCATGCAATTAATGCAATCTATTTAAATATCATTATTACAATAGGTTAAACTGCTACAGGGAGATAAATAAAGTGTGTTTTTGGTAAAATATTAATAGCTTAGTATAAAATATATAAATTTGCCAAGTTTGTAAAAAAAAAATCAATAAACAAGCAAACTACAACATTTTACAATATTCTCCATAAGAATAACTTAGGAATTTTAAATTAAATTTTTTTTTTCTCTATAACCAACCGCACAAAACACTTAAATAGGCTATACTAAATAATTTGTCTTTAAGCTCTTTAAAATTATCTACATAGAAGTTGGGATATTTTGTGTTTTGATGTTCAAAAATGAGAAAAAACAATTTTTACTCCCGTAAAACCCCGTTCCCATGGTCCGATCATGCTGGTCGCGAACTCATTCAAGTTTATCCCGCCTCACACCTTCAAGCTGACGTTAATCAAAATCGAACAAAAATTAGGTACTCAAGTTATCGCGTTCACGGACACACATATATATACATGTATAGGTATACATATATCAAACAACCCTCATAGTAATAACCATCACTACCGACAGCGCCTCAAAGCCCAACAACTTTATGCTATTTTATAATTACATCTCTGTAATTTTTGACGCCTCTTCTGTACTCTATGTTCAAGAGTAAAGTAATTCTGATTCTGATTCTACATACATACAAATTTGAACGAATTGTGTTTTTGGCTTAAGTAAATCAGTCCGGGGCTCAAGTCTTTCCATGAGACCTACGGTAATAGCTACTTCCCTAAAGGGAAATCCGTTAAAAGTAGTTTTGTGTAAAAATGGCAGCTGTGCGAATAGTTTTTGAGTTTGGGAAAATTTAAAAGTGTTTTTTTTTTAGGAATGATACCTTACAAGGTAGGTAGTGAGTTCATGGAAAACCTCTATTTGAATTTAATGGTGCTTTGGCCTGTAGGGACATCAAAACGAAAAAAATTGATACCAGGTCTAGGCTAATATGTAGCCTAGGTATTTGGGTAAAACCTTTGTAAAACCAACACATTTCCAACTTCATTTCTTGTACAAGACAATTATTATATTTTTAATCCGGAATAAAGGATAAATAAAAAGATGTCTAATTTGATTTAAAATATAATCTCAAGTAAATTAATACCAGTAGTCCATCAAAAAGGAATGTATACTTTACAGTTGGCATGGAATGAAATGTTGTTGTTCAGCAAATCTGTTGGGAGTATTGCAGTCAGTTTTCAGTCTCTTGGATAAAGGAATGTACTGGAGCTGGGACTTTATCCCTCCCTTTCAAATCTGTCAGCTCAATGATGACCAGACATTCCACAACTTTGGCCTTCAACTGGGAGATCAGCTGGCAAGAGGCTGCCAAACTACCTGTGGACCAAAATTAATTCAAATCAAACTTTTTTAACTATGCAGGTTAACCTTATGGTTGCCAGGTTCTTGAAAAAGGTATGTTTTAATGAAGCCCGATGTAGGCCTACATATCTCCGATCAATTTACAATGCGGGAGCAGGAACCTGAGCGTGCGAGATCATGCCCTGACCAGAGACGTTAGATTTGTCTCTGTCTGACTATTGAGTTGATCTGGTAATGTTGGCTTGAGGTTGGTTGGTGGGTAAGGGGATGGGGGTGAGATTAAAACTTTCACTAAAACTACAATGTTGAAAATTGACTGCAACGTTGCCAGAGGATTTTTGGACTTCTTCTAATTGGTTTACAAGATGAAAAGTTAAAAATTATTGATTTTTTTTTAGTTTTTATTGATGGATTCAACTATTCTTATTCAAGGGAAACAAAAACCACCAGAAGAACATTGTCAGGCCTAAATCTAATTTTTTTAAATAAATATAATTGATGTTTTTACAACAACCACCCAAAATATTGCCAATTAACGGAAACAAAAATTGTGATAGAAAGATAATGTAGGAAATCAGGTATCTAGTATTTGTGTAATGCACAAATGTAGGCTACATTATCAATGACAGTGATGGAAGATACACAAGCACAAACTTATGGTTATCGGTAAATTGGGAAATGGGTAAATCAGGAAACATATGTAAAAAAAACTATAGGCCTAATATTAACAAGAAATGTTGATTAGGCCTATATCAAACTTTTATAAACAGATTGGGTATTGGTACTGTATTTCCATTAGTTATATAATCTTTAAGTGTTTTAAGCTCATCAAAAATTATGACTGTATTAGTTTTGAAATAACTCTAGCATTACTTAACAATATTCCTCGATTTCGAGCAACAGGTACACTAGTTTTTATAGAGGGGAGCAAGCAAAGCTCTTTGGGATCGGCTTCAATTCATTCTAACACTTTCTCTCAATAACGGATGAACATAGTTTAGCCAAACTTACCAAGGTTGTTTTGAAAAATGTTCGGATGATTTGAGACGAACCAATTTCAATTTTTGATATGCCTATATAATTTAAAAGTAACTTAAATTATTTAATTTCTAACATTGGCCTTATGGGTTGCCATGATGGTTATAAAATAACAACTTAAATGTAAACAAAGAACCATAGCATACTAGTGTGCCTGTTGCTCGAAATCGAGCAATTGTCAAGTGCCGGTATTATACAGAAGTTATTTTAAAACTACAGTAATAACAGTCATAATTTCCGATGAGTTTAAAAGACCCGACTAAATGCTTATGTAACTAATTGAAATACTAACGCTATTTAATAGCGCTTTGAAATAATAAACGCTTCTTGTAAAAACATTTTGGCATTTTTTGGACCCGGCCTTATTTTTTAGTGTTTTCTACAAATGTTTCCCGACCTAAAGCTGTTACCATTAAACATTTCTTGCATGTATTTATTTGATCTGACTTTAGGTAGGTTTACTTTACCACTGTGACAACATGATGTGTAAATTCTAAATTTGTATAACGTATAAGAGTGTAATATTAAGGACAATTTCAGAATGCTTTCCCAGAGAGTGCCTGCTATTTGGAGAAAATGAAGACGAGCAATAAATGCCCAAAACGCACTACACAACTACTTCTGGCAATGTGTTGAGATAGTTGAATATAGAACATATGTTTGAAAACAATGCTTTTCATATGTTAAATGTACAAAATTTAAGAAAACAGACCCTATAAGGTATAGTGAAATGCGCGATTCTTTCAAAGCAGGCAAGTCTTAAAAAAATTACATCTGCTTATCATATGGATCCATGCAGGATTATTTCTTCCTGAATTGCCAAATCTGGCCAAGATACAAAAATATAATGTCGATTGGCACATTATAGCATGAAGAGTTTGCTATTTAGAATAATTATACCAGACGCATCGAACACGCTGTAAACTTGTAACTCCACAGTTATAATAAATACATATATAAATACACATGTCGATAGGATAATTAATTGTTCTTCGACAACTACTTTTTGAAATAATGGAATCATTGGTATATCATTTATATTAGCTAGTATTTATATTCGCTGGTTATTTTACATTCATATTTGCCGGTTTGTTTAACTTTTAAAGGAATAAAAAAAATAATCACCTCCTGTAGCTAACAAGTCATCTAGAAGCAGCACTCCTTGGTTAGGAAGAATACTCTCGGATTGGATTTCAAAAACATCCTAAAAGAAAAACGAATAAATGTATGTAGGCCCCTAAAAGTTTCTTTAACCTAAAAAAAAAAGTGCCAGGAGAACCTCACTAATCTATTGCCAATGGAGCTTGTGGCAACAACTAAAACTTATATAGCTTAGTATAAGCCTAGTTGAAATAGTAACCGGTAGTAATATTTCGTGACAACATTATAAGTCATGGCAAGACAAACATTTTGTTAGCACGCACCTATTTATTGTATATATAACACCAAACCAACGACTGTACAAGCTAGTGATAGATGACAATTACCTAAGGTGGGGTTTTCTACTAATTGCCAAATACGGCTGCGTTTTTTGGCAACAATACTTCAGACAAGGGTCAGATACAGCTCTTATCTCGTATCTTACGTGCTATAACATGAAAAACGAAGGTTGCATGCCATTTCCTATGCCGTAGCCGATTTTGTAAAGTAGGAAAACTCGCCTTGTAATGGTTACTTTTCAATTGCTGGTAATATCCATTGATATTAATTCTGCAATATTAAGATATATCCATAATTATTCAAGATTCTCATTCCCAGTAAGAGATACGGCAATTTCACTATAACATTTTAATCTCTTGTTAACAACAATCATAAAAATTAATGATTTCTGTGAACCATCCAGAAAGTCAGGGCAGGATCTAACATTTTGGCGCCCCAATGCCCTATAATTTTTCCCTGCTGCAGCAAGTCCAATTTTGTAGTCATCCCTTAAGATCTACACACAATTAGAATACACAGTTTTATTTTATGTGTGCGTGTAGTCTTTATTTTTGTGTTTTTTTTTTATATTAAACAACGACTCAGTCTATTCCCTCACCAGAGGGTCAACGACAAAGGCCAATGAATAATGAATCTTTGAAATCCACCACCAGACAAAAAATTTGTGGTGACCAACCTATTTTTAACAGTAACCTAATAAACCAAATCCCTTAAAAACTTAAGAAAATGTTCCCTGGTTGTGAAATAGGAATTTTTATGGATTATAAAAAAATTCCTATAAAGGGAATTAGCTATTCTCATGGTTTTAACCAATTTTGTCCACCATTTCATCAAACACTAAACTAGGCCAACCACCTTAGTCCTTTTTGTTAAATTGGTTCAACAATTTTTACAGTTAAGTTAATGCACCACAGTCTCACGCAACATTTACTCATCACTCCTTAGACATAGGTAACAAAATCAGACATTCAATTTTGATTGGCTTGTCATTTTTTTCCAACAAAAGTGCAAAAGGCACTTGATGTGCTTGCTACAGTAGCTCAATGACTTTTAGATGTAATAATTTAAAAAATCAGAGATCTAGGTAAAGAAAATTGTAGCATAAATTTATTGTTTAGGCCTACTATTAAACTTAAAAATTTAATTGATTGTAATATGCTAATGGCCTTTTATTGGAATAATAGAAATTGAAAACCTGTGTGGAATTTAATAGCCTAATAATTTTTTTAATACAGTCCCCTACTTAATAACTTGAACCTTGATATATCGAATTCCTTGATATCAAAAATTTGTTAATCCCCTTGAAATCCCCATGAATAACAAGTTATAAAAAACCGCTATAAATAAGTTGATGGATTTCAACATTGAACCAAAGTAAGTAAAATTTAAACGGATTTTGATCAATATAACACAACCTCTTTGACTGAAATTTTTCTGTCGAGCCTTAAAAACTCAAAGTTTACCTTTATAAGCCGAACCTTTCACAATGAGCTTCAATAACTCTAAGTTAAGCTGTACAGTGCAAGTCACCCTGTGTTTTGATTCCTGTTGAGACGTTAAAATCCAACTTTCTTTGTTTGTTTGGCAATGGTTATTGGCTAATAAGTCTGCTGGTATTGGGATTATTTTGTATGCATCGGACGTCATGTCGTTAGTCAAATGTAGAGTAAAACATTGACATAATAAGACGAAAAAAGAAGAGTGATTGAGGCAGTTGACAGTAGGTTGAAGAACAAGTTGAAATCACCAGGGAATTTGTAGGATTCTGCCTATCACTTGATGGAGGATTTGGAAAACTGTGGAAAGTAAGAGGGCTAAAGGTGGATTTATCAATAAAGAAGGATGTAAGAACGACGAGTTTGAAGCCTGGGAAAATGTGTTTTAACAAGGTTAATACAGTGTCGAGATAAAAACATTGCCATATCAAGAGCGATTTTTCAATAGAATGTAATTCAGTATGCCTTTCGTTTGCATGATAAATAGTTTTATTTATTTTGCTTCCACAGTTACCCTTAAGTAGCTTGAGCTAGATTTATAAAGGCTTTGCACGTTTAAAATTTGTGTTTAAGTTGTGATGTAACATCATTGTCAGAATCCAACACCTTGGTATCTCAAATTTAAGGTATAGCACCTTCATAACTTATTGGAGTACAACTTTGTTGAAATTATATACCTACTGACTTTTCCGATTGCAATGTAATATCGTTTAACGGAATAAAGAATTGTCTATTGTCCAAAAAGACTTACTCCTAAGCCTTAAATTTGTATCATACCCCCACCAGATTTGTGATACCAAGGTCCTACCAAAATTTCCAAGGATAGTAATTTACTGAATTTATTTAAGCTGTACTGTACTTACTTGGCCATATTCTAATGTAAAACTGACTTGTTCTACTTTTCCCGGGAGTTTCCCTTTTTTCCTGATGGGCACAAACGGCAATCCAAGTTCTAGAGCTACGACGGGACCAAATAGGAATCCTCGGGATTCTAATGCAGCAACCACATCCACTCCTTCCAACGTTTTCACATGATCAATTATAATTTCTTTTAGAGCACAGAATGCCTTGTAGTTTCTCAACACAGAAAATATATCTCTGAAAAATTATATTTAGTTGTAGTTTATCAACACAAAGTTAGTACCGGTACCATTCTTATAAAAATCATTTTTAAACTTATGCAATAAATCTTAACTTAGGCCTAAAATGGAAACTCCAAATTTACAATACAAAAACTTAATTTTATTCACTGAAGATTTATAATAGGCACAGTAACAAACATAAAAGGTGGATTTACAATCAGGGTAAACAATATAATGTAGGGAGAATTTACCGGTACTTGAAGTTACTAGGCTAATACAATGTTCTCAATTTAGACCTGGGGTTTGTTACCTGTAGGCCTACTCTGAATCTCGGGTTGGGGTGATCGCTCAGCGTCGTAATTTAATCTTGTGATTTAGGTAATTATTTGGTTACTTCAAATAGTTTCTTGATGTTAAAACTTAGTGAAAGTTAAAAAAAGTTAAGTTATGGCCTACAATTTTCTAATAATATGGCTTCCAAATAAAGGTTTTTTTACAGGAGTAATCTCACCCAATTTAGATGTCTTCTTCAAAGGTCAAATACTTCTTGATGTTTATAAAAGTGACATTATATGACTCGTGAGTCTTCTTTTATAAAATGTTCACTACCGGGTACTTTGTTGTTAAAAATAAACTTTTATCGGGACAAAATTTTATGTAGCCTAACAAAAAAATTCTTGTTTATAGTATGTTAACACTAGTTCAGCTCTCTTGGAAGTAAGAAAGGTTTAGTTTAGGGCATTGTTGCACTCAATTCACATGACAATGCTGACTACCATATCTAACGTAGGTTTACATGTATAGGATTCGGGGAACACCCTTTAATCTTTACTTACTTCTGGTGGGAAAACATTTCTGTTGTAAACATTGAGAAATTTTTTCTAACATCAAAATGTTTCTTTTATAAAAGAAGTGTTTTTTTTTGTTTTTTTTTTTAACATTTGGGTACACTTCTATATCTGTTGGCACAAACAACAGAATGAGTAATATTTACTACTCGATTGTTTAACTTAATTTGATATATCGTTTGGTTAGTTAGGTTAGGTTAGGTTAGCTTTACCTAACTAACCAAACGATATATTGAATAATTGATATCAACATTTTAATTCAGTTGTTTGTGACAACAGATACGGAAGTGTACCCGCCTACCTTAATGTGAAGTTACTAGCCTAATCAAATTTGTAATCTAACCACCTTTTTTATGATTATAATTGATTTGATTAAGTGGATTCTTTCATTGGCGGATCAAACATCAAAAACAAAACAATCAAGGTGAAGGCACAGTGTATTCTGATAAGGAACTAACTTAGAGACTAGGGTTATGTTATAGGCCCTACTTACATAAATGTTATTCCAGTTTTAGGAAAGTTTGGAAAGCGCTGGATATTTTTCTTTATTAGCTCCAAGTCACCTTTCTTGTCACACATATTAAAACAATATTAGAGTAATGAAATGAAGTGTCTTGTAACGTATCTGCTGTATGCAAAATTATGTAATGCAGATTAGATTGAAGTGCCCTTCAATATTTTACTTAGATAAAATAAACAAACAACAAACATAACCTCAACTCAGCGCGGAAGGAGGACCAGCTCCCCAGCTGACTTATTTTGATTCAGCTGATCGAAGATGCCAACCCAAACGCCAAGATTTATTCTACTGATCCCGGTCTGATCGCTGTAGCATTGATTATGGGTTTTCTAGTTCTAGGTAACGTATTTTGACTTAAAGTCTCCAAACCTCTGTCTGTGCTATATCACAGCCACCTTAAACACGGAGTTAAAGGTTAATGTGTCATCACTCATCACTCTTCATTGATCGATGGACGATGTTTGACTGACAGTTTGACATGACATAGGGATGTGCCGAAAAAACAACCACAGTTTAATGACATTAGTTGTCAGGGCTAAACAGTTTAGTCAGAAAGCAGGTTTTTGAAACTGCTTGTTGTCTGTAAACAATTAATTTAGGCCTAAGTGGAAACCGTGTCAAAGACGCTGGATCGTGACGGTGACAGTGGTCGAGTGCTAGCATCGGATCAAGGCCCCACTCGGATGCAAGATCCAAACCCAAACTAAACAAACACAAACAGTTAACAGACGCGCTGGGAAACAACTAAACAGCTTCGCTCCCTCTAAACTGTTTCTGGCAGGTGAAGTATAGCCCAGTAACCACCAAGCTTGCATATTTTTATAAAATACACAAACAAGGTATTTACTCAGGGGAGGTATAGAAGAGGCTACGATGACAGCTGTGGGCTTCTTATTAGCTGAGGGAACGCCATTACCGTAACAAAACGGACAATAGACATCGGCCTCGGTGGTCTAATGGTTAGCATGCTGGGCTGATACAAGGCTGATATACTGTAGGTCCCGGGTTCGAATCCCGCTGGTAGCGTTAACTTTTTGTCCAAGATTTTTTTATTATCAGCAAGTTTGGTTGGTTTGGTTCGGTTATTACAGTTTAATTTTATTATTAAGTCATTATAAAATTTTAATTGAGCAATTTCTAGTTTTATTTACAGAATTATTTTTCCGATTACTAAACTTTTGTTATATTATTTCTTTATCAGCAAGTTTGGTTAGTTCGGTTAGGTTATGATAGTTAAATTTTATAATTAAAAAATAATAAAATTGAATTTGAGGCATTTATAATTTTATTTTATGAACAGAACTATTTTTGCGATTAGTAAACCTTCATTGCCAAAGTGCTCTCTACTACAGCGCTGTTCACGGAGGAACTTTGAACTAAATGCCTCATTCGTACCTCCCCTAAGTCAGACCCCACAAACAATACCATTAGTTGCTTCCAAACAAAACAGCTGTTAGAACATTACGTTGCCACTTCGGACTTGATGGCCACGGCCTGGAGCTGAAGGTGGCCGTGTCGTGCCGCACCTCAATAAAGCCCGGAACAAATTTTTACTACAACCTACGCTCCTTTCACACTACGATTTCGCTCGTACGAGTGTAAATCAATCGTACGGGTAGATGTTGACCGTGGGTCTGTTGCTTTTACACTCTACGATTTGAAATCGAACGATTAAAAAATCAGTACCCCCACTCCACCAGAACAGAGTTCAGGAATTATATTCAACCAATTGAAATGCTGGTTGTGGCCATAAAGTACATTCATAGATAAAACATACTCAGTCTATGGTACATTCTAAGAAAAAAATTACTATTTAAATGGTAACATAACATTAAACATTTAATTTCTCGTGCTTTTCTTGTAGCGATTTTGTCTTTAGATGTCCAACGTTTTGTCCCATATAACACAACTTTCGATTCAACGAGTGAAATTAAAACTTCGGAGTCAATCACATCCATAATTTGGTATAGTGGTGGCTGTGATAGTATGCACCGATAATTCAACTCAAAACCTAAATACCTAAGCTAATAACCTAAATAAACTGTAAATAAAAAATCTCATAGCTATACGCATCGAACGGTCTGCACTCGGGAAGGGCTCCCGTGACCCGTACGACTAAACAAATCGTGTAGTGTGAAAGGGGCCGTATCACCCGCATGGTCATATGGTCCACTAGCACTAGCTGTAGACACGATTATCACCATGGCCATCTTCGATGTGGCAATCGCAAGAAGGGTTATAACAGCTGTTTTTTTTTAGGCAGCTTATGGTATTTGTCACGAATCCTAGAAAAATACCGGTATGGATCGTAAACGTAAACAAATGACGTTGTTGACCCGAATCCTATCCTAATAGCATTAACATATGTTTTGGTAGTTCCATTTAAGCAATGTTAAATAATGTTTATTTTCGGGCCAAAAACGTCATTTGTTTATGTTAATGATCCATTCCGGGTCGCACAATTTTTATTTCTGCAGCAGTTTTTTTAATACGGACAAAATGAGAGTTTAAAATTAGAAATAAAAAAAAATCATAAAACAAAAAAAAATTAAAATTATTTTTTAAATTATAAAATTAAAATGTTATAACCTAACCTAACTAACCAAACTTGCTGATAATGAAAAAAATGAATGAAGGTTCACTTATAAAAAAATAGTTCTGTTCATAAAATAAAACTATTAATGCCTCAAATTCAATTTTTTTAATTATAAAATTAAACTGTCATAACCTAACCAAACTTGCTGATAATGCAAAAATCTTAGATAAAAAGTTAGTGCCACCGATAGGTTTCGAACCAGATACCTTTAGCTTCTCACTCAGCCCAGCACTTTATCCATTAGACCAGTAGACCAGTAGACCACCGAGGCCGATGGTTACAATACAAGCCGTATCGTTGCGGTAATGGTGTTCACTCAGCCAATAGAATGCTCTCATTTTGACCGTATTAAAAATACTGCAGCTGAAATAAAAATTCAGCTTCCGGCACTTTTGTGGCATTTGTGTACGTATTTTGACAATACGAAACCTTGGTTACTGGACTATGAAATTGAATTCACTTTAAATGTACAAAAATAGATTTTTCCTACAGTCACCCGAAAAAGTTGGCTTCCTTGTACTGTTTATAGTACAGAAAGCTGCTAATTGCTGCATATTTATACTTTGCCGTACGGTTTATACTTTGTCGTACGGTTTATACTTTGCCGCACATCAGGATTCCAACGAAACAACACAACCTACGGTCACTATACTGGTGAACATCGTGCACAATTGGTAGGTAATCGTAAAAGGGGCCATAAGTTCCAGTCCAATGGTTGACTACAAATACGATTAATAACCGAACGAGCGAAATCGTAATTGTGAAAGGAGCGTAATAATAATAGTTGAAATAGTGTGGTTACATGGTAGAAAAGTCAGCTTTTTATCTGGTAGAACTTCCACCCCCCAGCATTATTTTGTTTGATAAATCAAATGTTAGGTTATGTTGTTAGTTGTTGTGACTGTTGTGAGTTGTGACTTCACTTGTGTTGTTAGTAATTAGTATCATATAGTTGTTTTGTTTGAGTTTGCCCTGTTGTCTAGTCAGGATTAGATAGATGCACATTATAATGTGTCATAAAGCAGCGTTAGAATTATCCGTTAGACTTAATTCAAACACTTTCAAGTTTTCAATCCTCAGTAAATATTGTAATCTATCCTCAACCAACTATGAGGCAAATAAACTTGTTCTTAGTAATGTCACAAGGAAGTTCAGTGCACTCGTCCCGCAGCAATATCAATATAAAAACAATGACACCTCACAAATAGCCAGTTTAAATTTACTAAGTGAATCTTCAGTTAATAATCGCTCATATTGCTCCAAAAGAGAACGCGAACTGCCGAAAATCATGCAGTTTCCCCAAGTTGTATGGCCTAGTGTTTTTAAAACCATCCGTAACTGGGTCCTTTCAAATTTTATAATAATGCGTTATTTTGACAGCGACTTCAGTTTACCGAACTTTGTCAATGGCTCTAAACAGGTAGGGTAATAATCCTAAGGACTAAGTTATAATAGGCCTGATTTAAATTCAATGTAGTCCTAAGTTATTTGGCTATTTTAGACTGCACTTTACGTCCTCCACTCATTCATATGAATACATCAATCTAAGATTATTTCATTCGATAGGTATATCAAGTTTGGTTAGATAGGTTAAAACCTAACCTAACTAACCAATTAAATAGCCTAAATCAAATCAAATCAAATCAAAGCTTTATTTTCCAATAGACATTACAAATGTATGTGGAATGGTCAATGAAGGTATTCGATAGAAGGTACTGACATCGATATTTTTCATTCAAATGAGTGTAGGACGTAAAGTAAAGTGCAACCCTATTTTAGTGTTTACTAAGTTACCACGGCAAAACCTAGGGAAGCTTATAGGCCTAGTCCGTTCACATAATTTAGGCAGTTTGAGGGAAGTTCCTCCCCTACTTTTTTGCTTAGGCTAATGTAACTTATATGTTGCAGCTAATTTACGGTTTGGCAAACCTCAGCTGTTGTATTTCTACACCTAAAGCCACATACATTTTGTGAATGGGGTTACTTATAATATCCTCGTCAGTGGGACTGGCTTTTAAAACTGAACTCAGAATACCTATGATATGCCTAGATTCTACAATATTCTACCAGAAGAACTGAAGTCTGTGTGTCCCAACCAAGTGAAATCTCATTTGAAGCAGTGGCTGTCCCAACGTCCTTTCTATAGCCTAGGCCTAAGTACTGTTAAAGAATTTATGAACTGGAGAGACCCTGTTATCTGAAGTACACGCCCTACACCTGTTTAATCTCACCTTTTATAACAATAACATTACCTTGACGCCTGTCACATCTCAACGATTTTGAAAGTGATTGTCTCTCTCTCTCCCTCTAACTTATGTCTATAAAATAACAGGTCTGGTGTGGAAAACTGTTAGTAGGCCTATGTAGCCTAATCCAAAAGCGTTACAGTTAGGCCTACCTAAGTTAGGTATGTGCAGCAATATATGTTACCGGTACCTAAATAATTAAAGACACCTTTTTGTCATGTCACATGGTAAGGTAAACAGCCCCAATTCCGGCAGGGGCCCAAATACCGGCAGCGGTGACTTCTACGTCATTTAACAACACTTTAACATGTGAAATAGCCATCTTATTTGTTATTGGCTGTTACAT